TATTAATTAACTCTAGTAAAAATACTACTATAGGCTTCTCTATAGGCTTATCTATAGGCTTCTTAGTAACCTTTTTAGTAATAACCTTTGCTTTTCAAGGTACCTTTTTAGTTACTTTTTATATTGCCTTTTTAGTAGCTATTAATCTATTAGTTACAAGAACTCTCCTCTATTATATAGACTTATAATAAGCTACTATTACCTTTGTAGGTGCCTTTAATATAGACTTTTTTAGAGTAACTAATAATTAAGTAGACTTTGCAGGAGGTGCTACATTAGATCCAGTACTATTAATAGGTGCCTTAGGTTGCCTCCTGTAGAGAGCTATTGTATTGAATATATGCTAAAACAACACCAAACGAGCTAATAGAAATACTAAATAATTGAGCTGTATAGGCTCTATACTAAGGCGAGAAGCTTCAATAATATTGGGTAAGTAGGCAATCAGGATATTGTATATTGTCAAGGATTTGCTAATTTTGATCGGGCAACGCAGCGAAAAAAAACGCGAGGCGGGGACGCTAAGCGATTCCGTCGATTTTTGCATATGATAAATTGTCGCTTAGCGGGGACAGCCATGCGATCTGCTTCTATAGGCTATGGTGCGTGTATCAACTCCAATCTCCCATCCTTAGTTCTTTGAAGCCTCAACTTCACCCCCCGTGCAACCTTTTCCAAATCGCGATCCGTATCTCTTCTTAGTGATTTTGGAAGGTCTAGGTCAGAGTCCTCCGGATCGGCGGTCAGCTTGTCGTTTGTTAAGACAAATTGATGGAAGTATCCTGCCAGAATTGATGACTTGTACAGTTGCTCTTTTCGACTCGAATCCCAAATGGTGAGGGCCAGGAATAATACTGATGAAACAACTATGAAGCTGGGGAATACCACCCATTGCCAGCGAACAAGCACGTACGTCTCGGGGCGAAGTGCCTTCCCTCGCAAGTTTGTCGAGTTGGAATTCTGCTCACTGCGCAGAAAAGAGCTAATCACATTGCTCATAGTTTTGGAGAAATTTTCCAACGTCATGTTCCTGAAATATGTGGGGACAAAACGCACGTTCAAAAAGTCATTCAGCAATTCCTGAACAACGCCCCCGAACCTCTTCCGAGTTCCTGTATGGAATCTGAAGTTGGGACCATGGCCTTCAACAAAGTGAGCCTCGGTAATGGCACTGTGGTCACAGTGCGTAAGGTTACAGGAAACTTGAATGTCAAGGTCTCTAAACTCTTCGGATTCCTGAAGGATCATACCGTTGGCCACGTTGAGTGATTTGGTGAGCTTTGCGCAAAATTCAATTCCGCACTTTTGGGACAGAAGTTTCACACCCTCCCATGTAGCGAGATCCGAGAGGAGCGGAAATTGAGACATCAATGAGAGTTGATAATTTACAACGATTTGTGCGGATGTGGTGGGATTCTCGGCTGCATATCCGTACGTTTCGGTTGTATAGTCAGAGAGGCTCTCGGCAAATGGTTCAGTAACGTCGATGAGCGTATGGTGATATGAAAATGAAATCGGGGTGTCTGCGGGAGCAATAAACAAGATGTGTCTTATGTCCGCCCTCGAATTAACGTAAAGTTCGGAAGTTGCCCCTTGCATGGCAGCTTTGAAGTCGTCAAGAGTTCCAGATTCCTTATCTGAGTTCCAGGAGTAAGTGATGACTGTCGTATCATTGTCCAGTATCTTGTCCTCACACCTCGTACATGCAGCTAAAGACCAATGCTCCTCGAATTTGCAATCGCTGGTGGGACAGTTGAGATACAAATTCACTGGAATTGTTGGGTCCGGTAGGCGTGGTACGATCTCTCGCAAGAGACTCAACATTGGCTCTTCTGCTCACTCTTAGTCGATGATTTAAAAGCCTCTTTGTAATAAAATAGCTGACCTTTTAGATGTGTCATAGGATCCGGCGGCATATCAAATCCAGATGCCATTCTCAATGTTGCTGTTTCATTTTTTGATTCCACTACTCTTGATGGAAATTGTATTATCTGCTGTGCAAATGGTTCGAAGGCGATTGCGAGCACCGTTAAACCAGCACCGATCCATGCTAGTACGTTGTAATTTGCCCTCGACGTCTTGAATGGCATCATAAGCGACCCCCATGGACCACGACTGGCATCGTCCATGATCTGAAGCTGATCCAAGGTGGCACCACCTTGCTTTTCGAAAGCATTCCATTTCAGCTGACTTAGGCCTTCCGCAAGAGCGAGCAGCAAGGCCGATTTAGATATTGTCGAGAACACCGCAATGAGCGAGTTAATTTGTATCGGAAGTTGCCAAGAAGCCAGCGACTTCCCGTTCATCATGAATAAGATGACGAAGATGAGTAGCATCGCGATCAAACTGACGAGGATAGCGCCGATCTCCCACCACCAGTTCAGAATTAGAGGAGAGCTCCATTCTTCTTGGGGGCGATTCGGCTGCCTTTGGCTGGAAGATGGGATACGATGCCGCTCAAGGCAGTTGTGAAGAAGACCCTGTGGGGCCATTTCGATGCAAAAAGAAGGAAGATAGCTATGTAAAAGTGAGCGGGTATCAAATGATTGCAGACCCTGGGCTGTGGCATAGATCTCCTCTATAAGCGTAGTCGAGTAGCAGACCCATCTCTCCGTCTCACCATAAGAGTACAACAGCCCCCACTTCAGCCTTGCGAACCACAACACGGGCAATAGAGCCTATCAACTGCGACAATATATATTAGCTGACCATAAAAAGGCAACGTTTGATTATGCCGACATTAGTGTTTGCCTCACGCAGGGTTCGAAACTTGCCTCTCCGATACTGAACGATACATGAGCGCGCTTGGCATTCGAATTCCGATACCTTATTAGATGCTCTATCGCTGATGAATTATAAGAGATGCAGCAGTAGAGGCGAAACCAGGCGCTGTTGTTAACGACACCAATTTCATTCATCTTTAGCAAGAGCAAAATGGTGCGTCAGCTGGTTCTCAGCAAGTGGTAAAACTCGGATCTGTGTTCAGTCACTTTTTCCCCAATCCAACTACCCATCCTTGAATACAAGATCATAGGAAAGCCCTAGGATTGCTATTGCAGAGATTAGGCTACCCAGCGTTCATCGGCTTTCCAGAGACCGGGCCTTGTGATCTATTCTCTGCCCCCACGACTTTTCCGTTGATGCTCTCGCAGGATTCATGTAGGAACACAAAGATGACAGAATTTAACTAGCATTTTCTGTGGCGCGGAGTATACGTAAGAATGGAATGGAGAGGTTCGAAAAGCATGAGCACCCAAAAGAAGAAAATTCTGTATGGCAAACGAGCACCCTAGAGCTAAACAAAGTGACTCAAAACAAAGCTCAAAGTAGGAGTGTCCTCTAAGCCAATGCTGGTCTATCGCTTGTACCGATAATCTTGAAGAAGATTGTAACTGCCGCCCTAGCTCCTATAAGGAGTTTTTCTGGTACACTCTGAGTCATTATTTCATAGTGTATAGAATGTGCATAGGTTGGTCGGTAACCGCTTGCTTCATTGCTTACCTCGAAAGAAGACAAGCCCTCTTAACTTCGGTTCAATGCAGAAGGAAGAGTCCTGGCGACAACATGCCTCCCGGTAATTCACCTGTGATGCGTGATCTGAAAGATGCCATGATCTAAAAAGATCTTAAGGCCACCTGAAACTTTCAACGAAAAATCACCTTTCAGGAGACCTCAAGGCAATTTGGTAAACCATAAGAAACTACTTTACAGCCTTAAATCCAGACATCAACTCTACTTGACTTTCCCTTCGCCAAATGTCCAACAAGCCAACAGCCATTGACTTCAAACAGTCCGCCCAGACCGGCCGTTATGACGACATTCACGGAAATCTTTGTTTTAAAGTGCATATTCATCACCGCTATCTTCACGCTGGGAAACAGAAGACCTCTGGGAGAGGTTCTTTATTCAGAGTTCATTGAATCCACGTGAAATTGAACGCGTTGAACACTAAGTGAATGCTGAAATTCATTCATACTAGCCTTGTTAACTCAAGAATGATGTGATGGTGTTATGAGTGTGTGCAACGTTCGAGCAAAAAAGAAAGGCAAAAAGAAATAGCATGTAATCTGACCCTAACCCGATTCGAACGGATAGCCTTCAGGTATTTCCAATATGAACTGGAATCTGACGCGCTACCATTGCGCCATAGGGCCTTGATTGGAATCTTCGCCACACAAAACAGAATATATCCGTATACAATATTCGTCGCCATCCGCGAAACTCCGTAGTGTTCAGTGGTGTCCATGTTGAAGCCTGCATTCCTCGGCTTGTCGCTTGTGCCCCACCTTAGGCACCCTCTGACTAAGATTTTTGTGTCCGCCTTTGATTGCCGGGCTTTTATCCGCATTTCTCCGAGCCACATCACACATTGGAAAAAATGATTAATTCGTCTCGGGATGTGCGATTGATGGTGTAAGAAAAGATATCCTTGTGTACTGTGCGCGCAAGCGGAACCTTCGAACTCGAATTGAACGTACTTCCATGAACAGATCCATCATTCCTTGCGACTATAACCAATGCAAGCCATCACGTGAATATTCCTCAAGGATTTCACCAACGTGTTACCAGTATAGGGTCGTATTGTTCGTTCAAATCATATCTAAAAGCGTTTTTCAGACTCCCTAGGCAAGTCCTGGTCTGATGCTCCTTCTGCATCCTCATGAGTATATCAAAGACTAAACATTCTCTACCCCTCTCATCCCTTCGCCTGTCTTTGCCACTTTTCATTCTGCTCGCCCATCTCTCCTTCTTTTCATGAAGACAATACCAACGCTCCCCCAAACCATTGTCTAAAGACCATATAGGGGCGTTGTACTCAACACCATCCGTCACTCAGCTGAAGTTCGTCTTCAACCACTCATCCCGATACTTCTCTGGAAACTCGGCCTTGAAGCGAGTGCGGAACACTCGGGCGTGCAGCGATGGCCGACCATCAGGGCCTTCATCGGAAAGCCAGTCACCTTCCACGGCTTCCTGGAGATCTTGGCCGAGACCGTGGTGAAGAAACTCTGGAACGGCGTCAGGAGTGGCCTGACCTTCCCAACACTTGACGAGGTGGGCGACCAGTCGCTTCCACTCTCCTTTCAAGGCGCCGACCTTATCTTTGAAGGCCTTGGTGTAGCGCCTGACTCCGTCCGCGACCATCTTGTTCAGCGTGTCGATGGCGATGAGAACTTGGCGGAACAATTCCTGTGCCGTGATGGGGATGAGGACAGCGGCGTCGGGGGATTCCGCCAGATCAGTATGCTCCTTGGCATACTTGCTATCGTCGATGGACGTCCCGTGCTTGATATCATCCCAAGTGATGACTTTGAGCAATTTCAGTCTCCACCTCAGGATGTCAGCCTCGATCGCGCAGTATTCTTCCTCATCTTCGGCGTCGCTGTCTGGCTCTTCGTCTTCTTCTTCTTCTTCTTCTTCTTCATCATCATCCTCATCTTCGTTGCCTTCGCGAAGGAACTCCGGCTCTAGGACTTCCTCCTCTTCGTCGGAATTGTAGTCGGCCGGGGCTGCTTCCCACATGCCCACATCATCGTTCTGTTCGGCACTACCACCAATCCAGGGGGAGAAAACACCATCCGTCTTCATCTTCTTGATGAACTCTCGAACGTAGGCATCTTCGTCGTCGTCATCCCGCGCCCGCTTCTTCCCGCTTCCCGCCTCTTGCAGAGCCGTCTTCGTTGGAGCCGCCTTTGCGGGGGGCGTCTTCGCCACAGCCTTCTTGGACCCTTTCATCTGGACGTAATCTTCCGGCTCCGGCATGTTGGCTTCGGCTTCCTCCACATCATCGGCGCCTTTCGCCCCGTCATACCAGACTTGCAGAGCATGGCAGTATTCGTGGATTCCCGTCACGCCCTTCTGGATGAAGCAGTCGGGATTCTTTCCGGCTTCTCGAATCATCGCCATCATGTCGGCACGGTTGCTTTTGCTCTTGATGGTTGTGATGGTCCAGATCGACTCTATCGAAATGGCCTTCTTGGTCCTCGCCTTTTTAATTGAGGCCTTGGCCACTGGCGTATGGGCTGGCTCTTCGTTGACCCCTTCGTCGTCTTGCTCCTTCTCATGGGAGTCTGTGTCATCAGGGACGAGCGATGGCGATCCAAGTCCGAGGGACTTCGATGGCTCTTGGCTATGCGGCATGGTAACGGCAGTTCCATGACCAGTTCCATCGACGGCCGTGGCTGTCTCGTTACGTGCCATGCTGGGGATGGCTTCGGCGCGGCGTGTGGTTGGAGTACGAGATGACATTGTGCTTCGTGGAGATGTTGGTTTGTAAAAGTGGGACTGGAAGTCTGTAGGGAGCAAAGAGTGTGCTTGCACGTAAGAGATTTTCGGTTCCCGCAGGGAAAGGTGCTCCAAGGTTGTGCGATCAGACAGGTGGTGTGTCTTGTCTTTGTGGGAGTGTGTTGAGTGTGTGGTTTGGATTTTATAGGTATTTTATAGTCCAGCCAAAGGAGCGGCCTTGAAAAAAGTCTCAGAATCACTGCGCTCTTGGCAAGCAGGCAAGCGAGCGCGCTGGGCCGCCTTGCTCGACTTTCACGGCTCTACAATAGCTTTATCTATTGTCTCAGAGTTTGATAGATGGCGCGTGAATCAAGCCGGAGAACGACAAGCTAAGGCGCAACCACGATTTCACACTAGGAGTTAGCGAGCGAAAGACGGCTTGTATAATGATGGCCCATCCATCACTTAATTCATGATTGCGATCTGCCGCGATTCTGTGTAGACATATTGTTTTCGAGGTTGAAGAGCACCAATCACGTGATAACATCTTTCCACCTGCCCAGTACTATCATGGAGTATTGTACGCCGAAGGGTTGAAAGACGCGTAATGGTACATCCTCATGCGCGCCATCGTCAATTTGAGATTGCGATGATGCGTCTGGATCCAAGGTGCATATTGTATATCGTCACGAGTTCAGCCCACTCGACAGCGAGAGAAATGTAAAAGTTGCAGGCTCACGCTTGTTACACACTCTTGAATGCTCAAACAGAGGTCTCCATGGAAGCTGGTTCATTTTAATATCCATTTTAGATTCTCCTAATTTACCCTCGATAGATACACTATGTATTCGCCGATTTCATTGTCTGTGCAGCCAAAAGACGGCACATTGCTCATATTCTGAGAAGGCAATATATCTGAAGCCTCCAAAATGGCCACTCGAGAAGACAAGAAGATCACTATTCCCTCCGCCCAGATGTAAGGACCATCCCCATCACGCCCTATCCTCTACTATCCACGACGAGGAAACATATGCGCGTTGTAGGTCCTCAGTCGCTCACCGGGAGAGCCACTCTGTGGGACGGTAGAATCGCCACCCTCAGCCTCCGTCTCAGTCTCCTCATCGTCTGACGGATTGCCCAAAGCAGCACGAATATTTTCCCGACTTATGATCCGCGGTCCCAGGCCATCATGTTGGTTCGGTAGACGTTCAGAGTGCATACGGCGAGGATTGCGCACAGGAATAGGCGGTACCCTTTCAAGCTCCACCTCTTCTTGTGGGTCTTGAGCTGCCGGGTACGGAGAACGGTCACGGTAGGCTCGAGAAGAGAGCGACGCACCAGGGACGGGTATGCGAGAGACGAAGGAACGCGATGGACCGCCTTGCTCTGGGCTCGCAGACAAAGATGGGCCTGCGGAGGGAGGAGCGTCGATGTTGATGTCCCCGGCGGGTTCGCGAGCTTCGTCGGTTTTGTCAGCAAATCCAAAATCAAAGCCACTCATGGTCTTCATGTGGGCTTCCATCTCCCTGGCGGATAACACACCTCGTACTCCACTCCGACCCGACTGTCCTTTGCCATCTTTGTGCTTCTCCTGTCCGGGGAACCTGAAAGAACTGAGTTCATGATCGGCGGTGTTAGTAGCTTGGCTGCCAACGGTGTTACTCCGATGCAAGCCACCATCACCTCCAACCTTGCGACCAGTGCTCATGTCTGACACATCAGACGTGGGGCTGTCGAGGGGATAATCAGAGAGGGGACGGCCAGAGCTGGATCCTTTTGAGAGTCTGTCAGTGAAGGCACGAGAGATGCGGAAGCTGGCACGACGAGCGATACCCATAGCAAAGTTCTCTCGAGTGGGCGCTGCTGGTGGAGATGGGGGCGGTAGGGCGGGGAGGCGTTTCGTAGAGGCTGGGTAGGCTGGAGCACCGCCGCCAGTGTAGGCACGGGGATGCGGAGTAGAGAACGAGCTATCAAACTTAGTATGATGACTTTGCATGAGGGAGGAGGGGGACGCTTACTCTGAGGGACCCTCTAGAAGGCTCAGTGCTTTCTTATGGTCCGCTTCCTGACGCTTCTTCGCGAGCCAGTCCTGCACGCTCTGCTTGTTTTTCGGTCGCTCGACAAGTCCGCCATACTGGGCCACAGTGCTACGCAGCTCGGGGCTCAGGTCCTCATCGATCTGGGGCTTCTCTGGTTTGACAAGATTTGTGACAGGGTGAGGCTCGTGGTTGTCGTCGTAGATATACTGGCGCATCGTGCCCTGAACACTAGAAGAACTAGCTCTGGTAGAAGGGTTGCTAGCGACACGAACGTTGGCTGAAGGGAACGCTACGCGGCTCGGAGAGACGTTCTCGATAAAGAGGGCAAGGCGGCCATAGTGGCGACGGCCACGGATGTCGTAGTCATTGCGGACAGCATTGACAATGGGCACGAACACCTCCTCCCAGGCAGCCGCAACGTTCTTGCACTGAAAGTATTTGAAGCCATAGATGTTCTTGACCTTGCCGACTTTGAAAGTCTGCAGGAGCCAGACGTAGAGGAACTTCTCATACTCATCAACGCCCCAGGCGAACTTCTGGATAACACCGCGCTTGCTCTTATCTTCCTCCCAGAAGTCGGAGTCGATGTCCGCGGTGGCGTCATACCTCAACTTGCCCTCGTCGAATTGGTTGTAGAACTGAAGAATGTCGGTTCGTGAGATGCGACCGGGGAGAGAAGAACGAGGCATCCCTGACGGCTGCAACAGCAGGAAGTGGTCTCGAAAGTAAGCCCATGGCACCAAGAAAGCGTCGAGCTTGAGCACTTTCTCCTCGAGGTCTTCAAGGCCGTGGAGGTTGATTAGCTCTAGCGCCGCTGCGAGGGCGGGATCCATCCTGTTGAAAAGTTGCTTGTGAGAGGCGAGGAGCTTCTTGAATGGCAACAGCGTGTT